CTTTTGTTCTTTAAAAAAAAAAATTCTTCATCGTAAATTTGTCCTAAAAAGAGATGTATATATATATTTTGACTGCCACATCTCAGGAATATCAGTATTATAAATTCTTGGGATGTGACAGCCTTAATTGGATTGTTTAAGGTTGTAACCTTATAGAAACCACAACCAAAAGGAAAATGTTTTATTCTATCGAAGTAAAGTTCAAAGTTAAAAAACCTTCCAAGTGATTATCTCGACCTATATTTAAAGCTCTAAAAATAGTACATCTTTTAACAAGTAATCTGGACTCTCCATTTTCAAGATTTTCAAATATTTATAGATATACTTGATTTGTACAGTTTTTGAAATTTTAAATTTTATAGTCAGGGTTGCACATGAATTTTCAAGTCATCGTAAAGTTCCTTGCATCAAAACTATCTTATGACAAAATTCAAAAGCGTGTGTTTACTTATATAGTAGTATACAGCAGGCACTTTATACAAACCTCACCCTATTAAAGTTTTACCACTTTATACAAACCTCACCCTATTCAAATTTTACCACAGAAGTGGACAATGGGAACCACAGAAGTGGACAATGGGATCACTCCTATTGTGTAAAGTAAAGAATAAATAATCCTTTGATAGAAAAGAGCATGGCTCTTGTATTAATGAAGATTGGAAGTGGTTTTAAGAGAGTCACCATACTGTAGAGGTCAACCCTGCTCTACACTGAGCCAAGCATAAATGAAGATTGTAAGTGGTTTTAAGAGTCACCATACTGTAGAGGTCAACCCTGCTCTACACTGAGCCAAGCAAGATCCTTATCTATAATGGATTTCGATGGTACAAAAACTTCCCAAACGTAAAAGATTAGACATTGGTTTGAAAGTTGTATTCATTTTTTTAAAATAATCTACTTCCATATCATGAACTCCACCATGGCCAGTCACAAGCCTGAATGAAAACGGAAAAAGATTGTGTTAGGTTGGCAACCAGTATAAAACTTTTACCATATCTCTGTCAAAGACTGAAATGATAGTGATGAATCTACTTCTATAAAAGTCAAATATTGTTGATAGGCAAGAAACAGTGACCTCTTCTAAAATTTTGAGCTCCAGACCATTTATTGGATCAAATTTTAAGCTGAAGTGGCTTGAATTCGTCGTATTAATTTCATCAGATTTTGCTCGAATTCCAGCTTAACAGGGTTTTAAGTTTGATGGCAAAAAAGTCAAAACAAAATGACAATCTTTTTCAGATCCATTTGGACTAATTCCTGGGCTGAGTTTGTAACATCTGAAACTATATCAGAGCCATGAAGCAATTTTTCTAATTTTGACTTGTTCTTTTGTTGTCTTTGGTGTCCACCAAGATTGAGACTTCGCTGTGGGGTAAAAACAGATTAACATTTAACCAGTGGTCAGTGAACTGTCAACATTGATGGCCTTTCAATGAAATGTGAAATTAATTGAACTTCTAGTGGTTGAAATTTCATGCAATTTAATAACAATAAAGAATGTAAATAAATTTAATTTCCTGAGTTGATTGCTTACAAATGCAGTCTGAGCAAATGCCCTTTTCAGAAGGATCTTGCCAGCCTTCAAAGAAACATTTTCTTTTCGTATTTTAGTCCTAAGATATGTCTCCTTCCTGCTATTTTAGACCTCAAACCCATTACCAACTGCAACTGAGTTATATCAGTTAAATGGTGCCTAATATGAATTTCCATGAGGAGCTAAAGCAAGGGAAAAGTGATGGAAGATAACATTAGACGGGTAGATTAAACTAATAGAAGTTGCAGACGAAGAAGCAAATGAATTTACTACAAAATCATATCAAAACTGGGGCATCCCCATCCCAAAGGAATTCATTGAATAAACCAAAAGTCATACAACATCAAACATTTTCAATTTCTCATACATAATTCACCCGAGCAAGAGTTATCAATACAACACCTCCAAGACCTTCTCATTTTCCTACCACAAGGTTAGTATTTGAAAGAGTTACAATAATACCTCCTTTCAGGGGAAAAGATTTTAGGGGAGAAGAAAGGTGTATGTTGACCTAGGATTGTGATCTCTCCAACATCTTAGCTCTGGCAAAAAATACCCCAGCCAAAAGACCTGCAAAAATGGGATTTGAAACAAATTCCCGCATGAGAGAGAGAAAGAGGCAGATTTTACACCTGGTTAACAAGCTCAAAGGATCAACAAATAAAGGCTAGTATTGTGTCTGCTTAATTACATACCAAAAAGAATGCTCAAGAAATTCTTGAGACTAGTAGGTACATGAAACAACAGGATCCCCGCCATGGAGAGAGGGATCTTGTTAAGTGACCCGACCAAGCTGTACAATGACAACCATTAAAATATCTATTAGAAATCACAAACCTTGTTAAATATCCCAGATAACCACTTTCAATTTTTACTGAATTACCTTCAAGATCTAAGGCCATAATCCCAATTTAAATACATAAGAGAAGGCTGGCTAACCTGTATGTGGTAGCACCCGTCTGATGCAGAAACCACATCGACGTAAAGCTGATTGCGAGGCCCAAGAACCCACTTGAAGTTATGACTACCCAGAACATCGGCATCTTCAACAATGGCCTGCCAATTAACTTGAACAATACATGAGCAGAATAAGAAAAGTTCTGAGAAAGATACTACTACACACGCAACTATATGTGTGTGTGTGAGTGCTCTGGAGGCATGTACTTGTGTGCCCCCAGGGGGTTGTGGGGGAGGAGAGAGAGAGAGAGATGGTCCAGTGATACAGGTAGTTATACTAATTAATGTAACTCCTTTTCACCCTTTGCTGCAAGAACTAACTATTATTCTAAGTTTTGTTTCCCTCAATACCAAAATACATCTAAATGGCGTTTTAGGGAGCTTGAGAAGCAAACCATGCAGATCTTTCAACGTCGTGCGTCTGAACAACATACAGGTTTAACTGGAGCATACTTTGTGTTTGTGACTGAGTTTGGGTTTGTTTTAAATTACTTTTATTCCAATACTCGCACCAAAATTCATTCCAGAAGTTATTGTTTACGGATTTCGACCATCGGTAACAGGGCATACCAAAGTTCTGGCTGCAGTTAAGCTCAACAACTCCCACCTAACTTCTGTATTTTGATTCATCCGCCTTTGGCACGTGTTGGTCCTTCAACCACTAAAACATGCTTCATTGTTATAATAGTAGATCAATTTTGGGGTTTGAGGTCAACAAATACCCCTTGCAGTTAATTGAAGGTTAATTGCAAAAATATCTCTCGAATCATTTTATAATGAACTCTCTGTGCAATATTTTGCTGTGGTTGACTGAGAAACTACGAATTCTCCCAGTTTTTTCAACCATTGCTCACAAAATTTGTTTCCCTAAGTGTGAAATCGAGTCCCAGTCCTAAACCAGCCAAAGAGGCAAATAAGTTTGGTACACTGTATTCTCTAGAAGATTCGCCAAGAGTGCAACTCTGAGAAGGCTTTTACAAGTTCTTCACATGGCTTAGTTGTGCCTTGTAGGTATACTCATCTACACACAATTACACCTCAGAGTTATAGGGTTGAGGGCTATTAATACCTTGAAGACAACAAGAGCATCTTGTGCCTCAGGGTCACAATTGAAGCAGTCAAACTCTTTCCGCAAACTAGAGTTTGAAAACCCAATTCTATGTGCGATATCTTCCTCAATTTCTCCATTTTTCTAGATTATCAATCCAAGATATCAGAAATACTCTCTTTTAGGTATTCTTGACCATCAATCTCAACTACTTCCTCGTTTTTACTCCTATTAGTACTAAAATATTCTATATTAGTCTGACTAATCTTAAAACTTTTAGATTCTAGAGCACATCTTTGGCTCTTTACATTCTCAAGAAGGCACTTACTCTTCAGGAAACTTATTATACTTCAGGTCAAAAGTTGATCTTTATGCTAACCAAGCCGATATATGTATGTGTATATATAATATATGGGAAAGTCTTCCCAACGCCAATAGGCAAGAATGAACAGTGATTTGGCCTTATGTTCATCACCGTCCAAAGTTCATCGCACGGTCACAATTGTCCGATAGTGTTTCAATTTTAATTTTTTTCTATAAATCGGAATGATCTAAAATTTGGAGTGTGTGTACATCTTAGTGAGACGCACCTAATAAAAATATGAAAAAAATATTTCACAAAATATTAATAGACCAAAATGCCCCCGTAAATTTTCAGGGGTATTTTGGTCAATTTATATTTTATGAATTATTATTTTTTTATATTTTTATCAGATTCTCTTATTTTTGACGAACACACGCTCCAAATTTCAGATCATTCTGATTTGTAGAAATAAAATTAAAATTGAAACAATACTGGACAACTGTGACCGTGCAATGAACTTTGGACGGTGATGAGCATAGGCGAAATTACTGTTCATTTTCTCCTATAGGCATTGCGTAGTGTTTTACATAATATATATATATATATATATATATACTACTCCTCACATGGAGTATATACTTAATGTACTTAATATTTTTGAACACTTAGATACCTTTGATTTGTAATACAAAATTTTTCAAGCACAGACATTTTTGGTCATTAGGAGTGGTAGAATGAATATTTCTATAAGAAACTAGTGGCATTCTATTACTGGTTAAACAACAATTAATGCTCCATGCGAAGCACGTCAGTGATGTCATTGTCCACTATAGTTAATAAATGCTATTGATTCTATTAAGAATTTTTAATTTACCCTTGGAGATACTTAAAATACCTCTAGACAAAAAGTTACATTATAGGATATGGAACCCTTGACATCATGTTATTGCTCTGCCACCCTGACCACCCAGGCCAAGGGATCCTAACATCAAAAGTAGAAGTATACTAAGTAAAACTAGGGTTCTTTTATAAAAAAAAAAAATTAGCCTCTAAGATTCTCAAAAGGGCATTCACTACAATTCAGGGAACTTACAACACTTACACGTAAATACTGATGCCAATATTAGGCTATAAGCTCTAAAGTATTGCGTTTAAGATGTTACGCTGATAGCCAGAAAATTCCTCCAACTCAATAATCCAATAAACATAAAACAAGGCCATGAGTAAGAGTCAGACAAAAACATGATGTTCCCAGGGCACTTAATCTTTCAAGAGCATTAACATATTGTACAAGACTTCACTTGAAAGTGTAGTGACCTCTTCTAGCTTCGTTCTTTTCTGTCTTCTGGCTTCGATGCTTCGTCATAGGGTCAAGTAAGGTTTCTTGATTCTGTAATTCAGAGCCCAAGTCTTCTCCCATCCCTGCACGAAATGTCGGTGATTTGGCCATTGTTGTCATCAGATGGAGTATTATGCAGAGTCTTCATCCATATATTTTACCAAGATCTTTTCAAGAATTTCCCAAGAAAAAACAAATATTTTAGAATACTCTGAGAGTATAGCCCATGAAGAAATTTTCAAGAGTGAGCTGTGTGCTTATGCTTGCTCATCTAGTGGATACTCCCGATTGACTATTCAGTAAAAGTGTGCATCCTCTATCATAAAACTTACAGCCTCTTAAAATTGTTAAGCCCAAAATCATAGTTTGATAAGTTTTTGTATTGAGTTCCACAACGAAGCCACGCTAAGGGTTAAAAGAGGTACTTCCTAATTTTTTTTACACACAAAGTGATGGCATTCCTTGCATGCATGTGATATTAGCAAAACGATTGAACAAGTGCCCCAAAAAAAAGAGTTGTTGTAAAAGATCTCAGCTGGACTAAGACATGTCTCAAACCAACTTCAGTAGTCTTGCATTCTTGCATTGAATGGCTGAACAAAAGCCCAAAGATTTGAGGTTGATTGAAGGCAACATGTGTATTCCTAATGCAGCAAGTGGTAATTCGATATTCTACAGAATCCAGACCAAGACTTCAACAGCCCAATCAAAGTTAAACCCCTTGAAATGCAGGGTGTCCAAATGGGTCTGATAACATGCAAAACTGGAGTTCTTTGGCAAAACATATACTTTCAGTCATTAACTTGATACACCATAAGAATATATATAAGATCAAGATGACCTATAGACTTAGGAGCAGAGTAGTTTTGTTGAAAGCAAAAAATGCTTCAGCAATTAACTGGCCGCACCACAAGAGCATAGACTTCCATTGAGAACACAAACAAAAAAGTTATCCCTCACTCTGGCATGTAACAATGCATATCTCTATCAACAATTATAAAATCGAAAATGATAGCACTTGGGTTTCAAAAAGCATCCTCGCAGATCCCAACCATCCAATGTTGACAATGGAAGGTTGAAAAATGGAATTTGTCTGCTCGAAGTCCGTGCAATGTTTTTGACGGACTTTGAGATGAGGAACAACACTCCGCAGTTATCCTTCATTCACATTGGATGGTTGAGGATTTGCTGGCATACTGTTTAAACCCAAGGAGTATCTTACAATAGTAACAAAACAGATCCTCAAATAAATAAAAATGTACTATATTCTCTTAACAGCACACACACACTTCGTTATTTGCATGTATTTGACTTAGGAATGTTGAACAATGCACTTAGAATATAAATAAAATACAGTACCTTTTGTTTTATAAAGGCAGCCCACTACATTAAATGATTAAAAACAAGCTCAAATATCAAAGGAAAAGAAAGAATAGAACTCACGTCTCACAAAGGTAGTCCACTTCATTAAATATAAAAATGAGCGTCAGTCCTAAGGGCAATGAAAGAACATTGTTGAGTAACACCATGGAAAATTCATTCAAGTTTCCGGACTTCGTGACTTGCTTTGCTGTATCCATCACTCTTCGCAAGGTCAACTGGAGAAGAACAAAAAATTGACAACAAATGCAATACAAATTAAATTTATTACACGTGGTAAGAAGGACAAAAAGCATCGAAATAATGACTTGTCTATAAAGGAACTCAGTATTCCATTATCAATTTTTTGTTTCTGATTTGTAAACAGGGGATTCAACCTCCAACCTAGGCTCTGAACTTAGAGCTCCATTAAACCAGTGATAGGCTACAAGGGTTTGAACTATCAGTACTAATGACTAGAAAGTTAAATAATGTATATCAAGTAACACCAGTGCAAGTGATTGTCATTGATTAGTGATAGATACACAGTTGCCCTTCACTTTATGGGCAATTCTAAGTTCTAACCTCATTATTGTGTCTCTCTTTTTATAAATTCTAACCACAATCTAACTTCTAGCTTCATTGCCAGTTTTTTTTCTCCAACACATAAGCTGGCTCTCTCTCAAACATCAAGGCTACTCACTTCCCCTCTACATCAAACGTTAGCATCTAGCATTAAAGCTAGACCACAGCCTGGCCTTTTGGCTATTCTCTCTCCAGAATGCACACCAACCCTTCATGCTATTCTGTCTCTAACCTTCCATTTATCTAGCCTTCGAGTTAGTCTCACTCTAGCATTTCTGCTATTTTCCTAGATGTAGAGCTAGCTTCAGAACTTGATTGAGAGAATTCAACCGCTTGGTCAAATCCTTCCAACAATTGCGATAGTTTTTAGCATTAAGCTTGCTTTCCAAATCCTCCTCAACTTGACTAATCTCAAGGGGTCAAACCATTGTCTTGAACCTATATATAGACTCAAACCCTGTATTCAAAGGTCCTAAACCCTTTGTTTAAGCAACAGGTCTAACTTGTCTTGCAAGGTCTCTCAAAAGCCTCAATCTTCCCAAGCATCATGCCTCATGTCTACAAGCTCAAGTCTTGTTTCCCAAGGTTCTAATATCTAAGCAAGGTTGTAAGGATTAGACCAGCCATCGTACCCGTGAGGGCAACAGTCCAGTTCTAACTGATCAGACTGACAGGTTCACCAGTCAGAACTGTCTGGAGAATATAAATAAAAGTATAGAGATCAAAAATAAAAAACTAATCAAAACCGAATTGAACCAACCAGTTCAGATCCAACTTTTCACCAATTGCTAGTTTAGTGATTAGTCCAGTCTTGACAATATTGGTTTGTTTGGATAGAAAAAGCGCTTTTGAAAGATTTTGAAACAAAAAGACTCCACAGGCTCAGAAAACCACCAAAACATGCAAAGTACTACCAAATTCACAAGAGATAATAAGTATATTTGGATTCAAGTGCTCTCAAGCCACCCATTTCATTAACATCCAAATGCCCAAGAAAGGAAAAGGAAAGCCCTTAACTGGCTTTCCAAACACAACAAAAGGAGGTGAACTTTGAAGCACAAGTACAAACTAGATGTAACCCAATAAAAAACGTGCAAAGCAAAAGTACAAACTAGACGTAGCCCAATAAAAAATGTGTATACCTTCTTTATATGTTACGAGGGAGAATATCTAGCCCCATCGCGCACTGCACATATATATATATATATATATAGTAGGAGGGGGGGTGGAGGTTGGGAGCTGCTCTTGCAGCATTCTTCGTCTCCTTGGTCGTGCTTCGTAAAGAGGTTAGGCTCTTAGTTCTCTCTCAATTGAAACTTAGTCTCTCAATAACCTCTCTTGAATACTCTTAGAGATCTGCCTTGGGAAAGTGATTCTCTCTCTCTATTTTCAGGCTTTAGTTGGTTCTCAGGCATATGAGCATAGGGGAGCTCAATATGATCTTCTCCGGAGGAGGTAGATGCAGGGGAAAAGGGGCCAAATTAGGGTTTTCCTCGCCTTGGAGACTTGGGGGGAAAGTTTGGGATCAAAATCCCTTGAGAGTTGACAATTTTGCGCACAAAATATCAGGGGCCAGGCCCACTCAAACCATTCGCGGTCTGGCGGCTAGGCATGAAAAATAGGCCCTTCTGTCAATTCAACCAGATTTATATTGTGCATTTCTGAGCCAGATTTTCATTCTAAGCATTTGGGGTCATTGAGTTTGGAAACTTATACCTCAATTCTCAAGTAAAAACTCCTCTGAATATCGAATTTTCAATTGAGCTCATGTAGAGCACTTTTTGACAGGATTTGCTCTTGAAATTGATTCTCAATCATGGAACAATTCATCCGGAAGTTTTAATGGGTTTCTAGAGCAATGAAAGAGGACCATTCTGACCAATTTTCAGCTCAGGACACCAAAGGATTAGGAAGAAAATAAGTCGCAGGCTGAGGGTCTGTCAAACCACCAACAGTGTGGACCCAAAAGATTACTTGAATGCTGGGTCAAATGGTGTCCAAATAACCTGAAATTTGGTGGGTAGGATTGAAATCCTCGAGATTAAAAATCTAACCAAGTATCATCTGCATTAGAGATCGTTTTCGGGATTCCCTTTTGTGCATGGCCCAATCAAAGTACCCTCAACCCAATGGTGAAAGCATATATGTTGCCTATGTATCAAAACTTCATGAAATTTCCCAGGGAGGTTCTTCTAGCCATATCTTGAAGACCATTCAAGTTTCATCCTATTGTATGACCATTTCATGGGTCTTTGAAGGATGCCTTCAAACCACCAGCAGTCCAGCTCACAAAAGCAAGTACACTGCCAAGGCATCCAAATCCAAAAAAGTTGGTAAAGAGGCTTCTCTTGCCATGATTTGAATATTTTCCCAGTTTGAATCTATTTGGGCTGATTTGGTATGGGTTTAGGTAGACCGGAGGATAGAGGATGGGGGTTGCTTGGTCTCTGGAAGTTCAGCCTTCACTATAGATTAGTCGTAGGTGGCATTTCGGTTGGGGAAGAGCTGTAATATGCACCCCCAGGACTCTGTGCCATGTTTGAGGGAGTAAATATGTTCACCCTCAAGATTGTCCCAAGTTTGAGGATGGATGTCTCGCCATATTTGTTGATTCCCAGTCTTTGTGCATGCTTTGGCTGACCTTTTTCTGGGTTGGGTTTTGTTAAGTTCTAGATGATGCAAAACACACCCAAATATTTAACCCTTATAAGCTCCCATGCTTGTCAATTGAAATACCAAACCCCCAAGTCTTGTCTAAATTTAAGGTCTCGAACCCTTCGCTCAGATCTACAAATCTTCCATCATTTCTCATAAGTTTCATTCTTGGTTATTAAGGTTTCTCCAAATCCTAAATCTTGCCCGAGTCCCAAAATCTCTGATCTACAAGTTCAACCTGTGTCACCAACGTCCTAATCCATGGATCTCTTTAGAAGCTCTTGCAATTGTCCTCCAAGGTGCATTACCCTTAATCTTTACATGGCCCCTTAAACTAATATTCAATGCAGATCCCCGGATCAAAACTCAGCTCACGGACTCCTCTAACACCTGATCAACTACAAGTCCCTTGTGGCTTTTTTTTTGGGGGGGAGGGGGGATACTTCAGTGGTAGGAATGGAACTTGGGATGCAGTGTTGTTTAACATCAACTGCTAACCACTCAAGCCCATGCCCTATTCCTAAGTCCCTTGTGGCTTGTCTAACAGTAATCAACACCCTTGATTAATCTCAAGCTATCATCAGCATCTTTTTGTAAAGTACTACTAATCTAACAGTGTTTTGTTGCCTACTCCAACTTCGAGCTTACCTGCGAGCTCCCTCAACTCTGACCTTTTGGTTTGACACCACATGTAATCAAAGCATTGTCCCAAGACACCACAGGTGCCCTCACATATTTCTGCAAAATTCCTTCGAGTGTAGAATCAAGGGATACTTTCCTCCAATTAATAAAATAATGTTTACTTCTTTCTATATGTACCAATTCAACTTGGATGCCTATAAATACCTAGCAGAAATGCATTATGATAAACAACAGCAATACACAGGGCACCAAATCCAGTTCTTCACAAGCAAAGTACGCACGTCAAAGTTGATTACCATTTTGTTAAAGCGAAGGTGTGTCCGTTCTGTGAAGACAAGATTCAACTAAAAAATATAAACTAAATAAGGGCGTTGGAAGTCTGAGGATACGACACATCTAAGGTAATGGGGCAAATCCGATGTTAATGAAACCAATTAGCGAATTGTTTGATATCATGTTTCTAGGATACATTGCCATTCCGTTTCCCTCTTATTCCCTCCATGTAACACTTTCTGCACAGGAACTGCAGGGGGCACTTACATCCATGCAAAATATAAAATGTAATGTTGAATGTTGTTACACAACAACCTTAATTTACGATTCTGAGTTACCAAAATAAAACGAACCAGACCTCTAAGTAAGTTGTTAGCTTCTCGAGTTTACACATATCAGCTTTTATGCAAAACAGAAACAATTCCAGAATCTGTTTAGTGTCAAAATATTTGTACTAGAGTTAGCAGGCGCATTTTACTTGACTTCCAAGTAAGTATTTTTCTTCTATTGGTGAAATGAAGAACAGTGGATATTCAAAGACAAGCCAACAAAGATTTGTCATAGCAAACAGGAGAAGAGAATTTTTATACATAATATTTGAGATCAAGTGGCTTCTCCAATTCAGTTAGATTTGAATTAGGCTCCTTGAACCATAGAGCTCTGTCTTATTTCCTGTAAACCTTGGATTTACTCCAGAATTTATGAACTGAAATTTTCATCTTTTCATAATGGAAACACGTTCAAAGGGAAAGCAAACATAAGAACTCTATAGGAAACATAAGTTTATATACCAGAATTGGACTAGAACATTCGATACATAGTATGAAGTGACCAAAAGATAAGGAATTACCGAATACGACGCTGTTAGGAAGCAATTTATAACTTGCCACGAATAGCCAACAGCATGGAAGGAAAGATCTGTAATTCCACCTGAGATTGCTGAAACAATCTGTAAGCAAAATTCACAATCAAATTCTCACAATAGTGGGAGAATGGCACATCAGATATCAACTTTATGGGGCCAAGTGAAAGGTTTATAAGCATCACAAAGAAGACAGGTTCAAAGTAAAATGTTGCGTTAGAAACTTCAATAAGAAGAACTCTCACAGTTTATCACTCTTGATTGATAGAACAAGCTCAACTAATTTTGGGTTGAGTCAATTCTAATCACTGATATGGATCTGCTTTGTGTACTTTTTCACATGCTCTCTTTGATTTTAATTATTCAAACTTTGATTTTAATTATTCAAACTAGGGTGAGAGTCTTAGAGTCATCCAAACCATTCTTTTGTCTGTAGTCCATGCCAATTTCCTTTATATTTTCAGCAGAATCATGCAACAAAGTTTTCTTAACTAAGCATCTAAATTCTAGCATGTTTGTTTGCCATTATTAAAGTGTCACCAACAATCTCCAACAAAAAGAATTCCATTGCTACGTTTTTTAAGTAAAACTAGCAGAGTATCTTCAAAATGGTTTAGGAAACATCTAACTCTAACTCCTCAACCATCTCTTGTGCTAAACCTAGAAGCCTTCTATCTCATACCTTTTATGTCATGGAGCCTGTCATGCAGATGCAATTCGGACTAACTGAATCAGCAAAACTCATACAGAGTAGAATGATCATTCAGAGATCAAGTAAAGATCAATCAATCCAACTGAAGCAGATTTTTTATAATAAATCTAAAATTTTGGAACCTGCCAGAATTTACGGAGTCCACTATCAGATTAAATCTTATGGTACATCTTCTCTCCACATTGTCAACTTTTTGACCTATAATTTGATTGAATGAAGATCAAGCTAGCCCTACTTAACTCTGGCACTGACATGAACTTCACCTTTGCAAAGTCCACTATTTTTATTGCTTTCCTAGAGTGATTACAGTATACGTGCACAACATATAGTTGGTGCTAGAGGAAACAGCAACAATATGAGACCATGAAACACATCCTTTGTTCTTTTTCTCTAGAATAATTGTGAAAGGAAGAGGTAAAGAAAAATTCAATCTACTTTAAGCATGAATTTTTCAAATTTGAAATGCCAGAGTCATGACAATACCATTAGGAGTAATGCAGCCCAGACTTTGCTATCATGATGCTTCTTGAAAAGGTACATCTCCCCCAAGGCAGTTATGACATTAGTAACATTCTTCAGAACTGTGACCATAGCTACATTAATGTACTTCAGACTGCATTTATACAAAAAACAAAGAACTTTAGATTGCAAAAAACAAAGTCGGCAGGAAAAGCAAACAAGAAGACACATATCTATAGTAAAGCTTCCATGATCTTATATCGAGAGCAAATATATACTTAGACTGTTTTGAACTTCAATTTCATTTGATAGGTAAGCATGGGGTACCATTCAAGAACTTCCTAGAGGGTTAACCTAATCCAACTACTTTCATTGTAATAGACTTATTGTAGAAAGTTCTTATACAAGCTAGATTCCAGAGCAGATGAATCACAAGAAGACACTGAGAAATTAGAGTTTATAGCACATCCAATACTAAGATCATATCATAAAAATAACGTGAAAACAAAGTCAGATACCATACCTGAACATGCTCGTAATAAGCATCCCAACAAATATAATGTTCACTGGTAACCAGACCCGAATCAATCTCCACGTAAGTTGTTCCGTTGAAATTATCCCAGCAAAGCTCAACATGGATACAATAACTACTGAAACAAGATTCTGCATCATTGATAAAATTTGTTGTTATCAAGAAATTCCTCAACTGGAAATACTAACAACCAATAAAATTGAAGTCAACGAAACTATTTAAACAATGACAGCAACTTCACCTGGTAAAGCATCAAAGATATGCCGGCATTAAAATCATAGGTTGAAAGAACAAACTTATTCACCAGTATCATGCTGCATGATGAGATGCAGTATGCTAAGCCAGATAAGACAGCTTGGTTATGGACTTTCACAAGAGTGTGACCCCCCACAGTTTTCTCTCCGTCCTTTTCCACCTTTCCATCTTCCAAATCGAAATTATCATCAGAAAGAGGTTTTGCTCCTGACAAGGATCTATAGAGAAAAAAAAAATACCATTAAAATAGGTAGCCAGTACAAGAAATTCGCATTTCATTAAATGCAGCACAAGTACTAATAAGCAAACCAGACGATGCTTTCTAGGGGTGATATGGTTGCAGTATTGGAACTCAAAACTCATATGGGGAAGTTCCCCTGTGAGTTTGGAGGCTTCACTGCCCATAGAGAAATGCCAAGTACTTACAATAATTTGAACTAGAGAGAAGGTGTAATTACCTCATTCATTGAAAATTTATTAAAAATAAGAACCAATAGATGTTTCAAAAAATCTTCTTGCAAACAATGCACAACTATGCATGATGACACGATGAATGGTAACATGACCCCAGAAAAAGTAAAGCTGAATCATTTGTTAGAAAGCCTTGGCAGAGTGATTCCAAATGATGGAGTTTTGAAAGGCATAGAACCTGAAGTTAGAGATGTAGTAAAACATGGACTAAGCTGCTTTCTGAAGTGTAAAGCAACAAGAAATATTTGGGAACAGTGCTACATTCTGACATACATTTGAACAGATCCATTACCCATTGCCACAAAGAGATGCCATTAGAGATAGCTAGAGACTATCAATCCCTGTTTTCAACAACTTTCTTTGTTTAAAAGAGGAGGTGACAACTAAGAAATTCCATATATATGAACAAATTCAACCCAGCATGCTAAGGCTCATGTGCTAAGATGGCAATTCATTTCAATCCTTGTAACCAAAGTAGTGAGAAGAGATGTGGAAACATATTATCTGATTGAGGGTATAGCCCTTGATAGAGTATAATGACAGAACATAATTTGTGCAGTCGACCCCAAATAGTTGGGATAAGGCTCGGATGATCATGATAACGATGATGACTCAAATCCCTATGCCTGGTAGGATCTGAACTTGGAATGTAGTTTTACATTTGTCAACACCTTCCTGATCAAGCCCAAGCCTGAATCTTTAAAAACTATATTCATAAGGTAGATCAGTTTCTTTGCACATAACTATAAAGGTCAATTGATCAATTACTTCAAATTGATATAAGAGATATAGAAACTAGAAAGTAGATCACAAACACTAATGATAATGATCAATGTTCCAAAACAAGGCTCGGACTCGGCACTGGGCTGGGTCCCGAGTCCAAGTTGTCCAAACAAATGGGGCAGAATCTGTAATGGACTCTGGTCAGGTCTGTACAAGTAAATACTAAAATGTAGAAACCTGCTGAGTTGGGCCAGTTCCTACTCGGACCCAGCACCTTGTCAAGTCCGAGTAACTCAGGTGAGTCCGGGTGGACTTCCCCAAGTTTTACAACAGTGATAATGATTTATTATGATACACATAAAAAAAAGCATCAATTTTGATGCCAAAAATGATAGGAATTTCATTTCCGTTTTTGCCGTCCAATAAAAAAAAAAGGCCAAACTCCATTTGTAGAGCATAACATCAACAACAAGAAAAACACCAACAGTTCTATTCACAAACACACACACGCACACACCCGCAGAGAGCGAGAGAGAGAGAGAGAGAGAGAGAGAAACAATCTCAAACAGTAACAGGAACTTGTTATGAATTAAGAGCTATAAATTTACCTGGAGCCCATGATAATTGAGGTATGAAATGCCCCACTAGAATCAAAAGCCCGATCCAATTTCAGTATCCCAAAACACCATGGTCAAAAATCAAAGCAGCTGACCTCAGTCGAAGAAACCCAATTCAAAACAACAGATCAAACGAAAAATCATCAAACAAGGCCTGCAAAAATTCACCAAAAACTCAAATACAATCTCATAGAAAAAAAACAGAAAGATGGAGAGAGAAAGAGAGAGATGGAGCAAGAGAGAGAGTGACATACTGAAATCTAAAAAAGGGACTGACCCAAGAGGCATTAAAATTGTGCGCAGAGAGAATTAGAGTAAAGAAGTCGTCGTCTCAATGGCACGTTGGAGTTGCAGAGAGAGAGAGAGAGAGAGAGAAGAGCCCCTTTTAGCGACAGGCATCGCACCATAAGAAAATTCAAACACCGTCTCTCCACTCTCAAATAATAAAGAGGACGTGAACACTGAGAAAACGAACAGGACCGTTAAAGGATTCTCTGCTCCCGCGGGAGCATCTTGGACATTCCATCCCTGGGGTACAGTACGATCTCATGACCCAAAAATTTGGTAACCCCGCAAACCTAGCGAACTCAAAAACAAAATAAATAAAAAATAAAAAATGCACTCAATGGGTAGAGAGAAAAGGAGAGGCAGGGTGGTTTACTTTTTACGGTAACAGCAAAAATAATAATAATAATAATAGGGTCATGAGTGTGATGGTAAAAAGATTGAGAATTAAAATGTCTATAAAATTTATTTTGGGAGTACCCATAATTTTTTTTATCTAATAATATATAATATATACAAATAACATTAGTTATGTAATGAAAAATATATAAAGGGTTGTATACAATGTGATCACCTTTAATACAAAAAAGTCACAATTACTTATAATCATATGATATAAAATCTAATAGCTTAGGTGTGTCATATATTTTGAGAAAACTTATTTTTAACTACGAGCTTGATCAATGGATAAATGTAGCCACCTAATTTTACATCTTATCAAAAATAATTATGACCACTTTGTATCAAAAGTACATAATCTCAACATATATTTTATTTTATATGTTGTTATTATCAAAAGTACCTCGATATCGATTTGGGTTTGGACTCAAAGATTTGATAGGTTAGATTTGGGTCTAAATGACTTGACTCAATGTGGGTCGGGTCTAGGTCCATTCCCAAACTTTCTCACATCAAGTTCGGTCTTGGTCAAGGGTGACTTGCCCCGACTTAATCTAAGATACATATATATATATATATATATATATATATATATATATATATATATAGGTAGTAGTAGTAGTAGTATATTTATTTAGTTAGTTAGGTACGTACGTACGTACTTATACTTACGTCCTACGTAGTAGTAAGTAAGTTAGGTAGGTA